GAGGTGTCTGGATACAAAACAACCTTTAATGAAATAAAAACGTTTCTGAGATTTCCGTCAAACCTGACAGCAAAGTGTGTGAGTTCCGTTTCCTGAAAAAGTGTGGGTTCGCCAAACGGGAACTTGTGATTGTGGATAAAGATTATGTCCGCCCATTGCTAGAATATGCAGATGTAGTGTGGTATTCCTCATTAGCATGTACTTAATCTTTTCAATCAGATGACACTGGGCATCAAATTTACCACATAATAATGATGCTCTTCAGGACAGCGACTCTGTCTGGTAGAAGAGGAAGTCACTGCCAGTAGTTTGCTGAAGGCGTCTCCAAGTTTACCCTGACTGAGGACCAGCCCCTACCAAATTTGAGGTGTCATTCCCGCAGCCTACATAACGCACATTATGTTTCCCGCATACCAGGACTTCCCGGTCGAGGAACAACATCATCCAGTATTCCTTGTACTTATCTTGGTGTTTTGTTTTGAAATGGTATTTCGCCAAGTACACAATATATAAAGCTTTGCGTTTGATAGGAAATTTGTGAACCGTTCGGGAATTTGGATTGTTTGTCCATTTTAATATCTTATTACGTTGGCAATGTTAAATTATAACTATTATAGTAACCTTTTAATTATTTCTAATAATCAGTTTCGTTAGAGTGTAGTTTGATGTTTCATCTGATTAATTTTCATCGTAATTTGGGCTAGCCAGGGGAATGGAAGGTGTAAAATAAAACCAAACCTCTTTTTGTTTTTATTTCGTTTTTTTCCTAATCTTTCTTTCTGTCTACACACTTGAGTCAGATCGGTCATCTTTTTACTTGTTTTTATCAACAGAGTGGTGCAAGACTAAGGCCTACTCCAAGGCTGCGGAGCCGATTATGCCTTACCACTGCATTCTTTTCCGTCTGGTTGAAGGTCGTGCCCGTCATAGCATTCACACCTATAGCTGCCGGGCGTGTTCACGCACTTATGGTGACAGTCTTGGGTGCGGGACATGGAACACTCATCAATATCTGTAAATCAGAAAGACAAGTGCCATTTACATTTCATGGTGTATTTGTTACAGTTCAAACCGTCACAGTAAAGGATTGAAACCTGCAAACAGCCTTCATCGGTCTTCAAGTTTCCGGATAGCGTGACCAAGAGAGGGCGCAATTTTCCTAGCAATGGAAGCTCCTAGCCTATGCTTGGTCCAAAAATTGCCTAACTTGCTCGTACCAGGAATGGGTATATCACCATGTTGCAATGGCACGTGTTGTATTGCTACTTTAGTTGCTCGAATTGACCTTTAAGAGGAGAACCGCTTTCCAAGTGATGAGACTCACTTAAGGAATGACTAGTTGAACCAAAGCCCTTGGGGAGGAAGGCAGGGCTGGACCGGAAGGGCCATTGAGGCAGTCCACCGGCCTTATAAAGAAAAGTCATTATTCAATAATTTGACTAGCCCTACCCTCAAATCCAAATGAACCAAACATATTCATGCAAGCTGTATTAATATTCAAAGACTAGTAGCTGATACCTAATAAGGCAAGGAAACTTGTATGATGGATGAAAAATGAAATGTCCAGCAAATGTACAAAATCCCTATGAGCTTTGGCAATTGAGCAGAGTGCCGCACATCGAGCCAGCCGAATAAACCACATCAACTACAGTCCAACTTTGTCTCAAGTCATCCTCTTGTGTCGATTCATATAACCTGTCGGGTTTAAAAGGCCTATACCATAACCTGGAATTGGACATCTTATTATCACATTTTAGAAAGAGGGAGAACATTATTTCCTGACTTCAAAAGCGTTTCTCCGTCAGAATTACGAGCAAGTATGCTCATAGAGGTTTGCTGTGTTGTAGTCCCTTCTCCACTCCCTTCCAGGCCTAACTTGAAATAGAGTATTCCCAGGGCCCCCATTTACTCCACATGCAGTTTTGCACGACAATATTGAAACAAAGATGGTAACCGTGCAATCTAGACTCTTTCTAAGCATCTGCTTCCAGCTGTTGCTGAGATTCAAGTAAACATGAAAGTCATAAGGACCAAAGAAATCGAGAGAAATAAAGAACATAATGATTTCCTACCAGTACAGCCGTGTCCGTCAGCGTCAAGTGTGTAGCCCGAGTTGCACTCACAACGGTAGGTGCCGACAGTGTTGATGCACATGTGGTCGCACTGCAGGTAAACCTCTGACTGTCGCATGCATTCGTTGATGTCTGAAAGGAGTCAGACAAAAGGTTTCTTTTGGTGATGAGTGGGGATGTCGAAGGCTTCTTCTGCCTCTTAATAAGTACATGCAACATTCAGCCAAATGAAC